ATCAAAGTATGTCTTACCTTGCCCTTATTTTTAGGAGCACACTGCCCAACAAGAGAGGCATGATAGATTAACCCATACTTAGGAGTGTCATGCTTTGTTTTTAGAGCTCTGTAAAGTACAAATTTTGAAACTATTTTTAAAACTTATTTATTTACTTTCAACAGTTAATATGGGTCCTTTATGTTTAACATCCCAACATGACAAGGAACAAAACAATTAACCCTTTCAGCTTGGGCATAATGTTTTCCCATTTCAGACCATGTGTCATTCCCTACAGTATCATTTCTTTGTTTAACTGTTGCACATGAGAAGACACTTGAATGTGGATAAAATTCAAACATTCTCAATAGAATGACACATGGTCTGAAATGGGATAAAAACTACGCCCTTGGAAGCAGAAAAGGTCTATGGTGAAGGTCTATCATTTGCAGACATTTTTAGAGCAAAAGCAACAACATCTACAAAGCTAAGGGTTCAGAAGGAATTTGAACCTGTAACCTCTGTAACCTGAACTAAAGGCCAGTGAGCCATCCAGAAAAAATTCTGCCATATCACACACCAATGATGTAGGAGCAAACAAAATCTAAGATCCCCTCGTTCAATATTTTGTTACCTGAACAAAGCTTTTTCAGCTCCCAGTATCTGTACAGTTGATGATGGATGCTTAGCAAGATTGATGAGTGAACCTGTAAACAGTTCATAGTAAACTTGTTGAATATAATCATTTGATACTGTATTTATATCATTTAATGTTCACCTAGTTGTTTCCAATACTGCTTGGAGTACAGAATCAAACAAATTAACTGTTGCAACAACAGTTTAAAACAAAAAAAAATTTGGTTGTGATAATTCCAATTCTTGGGGTGCACGTTACATCACATAGCTAACATGTTGGTTGACAATAACAAAGTATTCCTCAATAACTTGGTGGCTGTTTCTTTTCAACTCACCTGCATGGGCGATAAGCCTTGCACCTACTAACTCCCCAACCAAAGTGGTAAGGTTAGGTGCAATAGCCAACATTCTATTCTTGAGGTAGTCATACAGCTGGGCCCTATAATCTGATATTTCTAGGATTTGGTCGCACAAAAACATGATGTTTTCTTCATCCTCTTTGGAAATCTGGAACCAAATAAAAATATAAGTTAATATGATTTAGAAAACTCATTAATAATTCATGAAGGAAACACAATAGAAATCATTACCATGAAGAAGGTTTTATATCTGATATAGATTCGTCTTCATTTGCATAAACTTTAACTTGGATTTTCTCTATCAAACTTGGTTCATTCCGTAAAGAATTCAGTACAATAAGAGAACATACATCAAGAGTTTTCTAAGCCATTTAATAAACTCGCAGATCGTGTTTAATATTGGGTCTAAAACCACTTGGCTGTGCCTCATGTTCCATACCCGATAAAACACTCCTGCTCGTTTATTAAACATTACATAAAAACAATCAGTATGAGGATGATGAACAAAACAACTGAATCACCAGGGCACAGGTTCAAATCCCATTCAAGACACTCAAAATTTTTTCTGAGTCTTATAATTAGCAGCTGCATCAGTTGTTTGATATACTGCGCAAATCAGCTCACTTAAATACATTATTACCACAGTACAAATATGTATTCTAAATATATTCTCATATACATTCTAAATGATGGTTTTTTCCCTCACATTATAATCTCACCTCAACTCCCATGGAAATTTCAGCTGCAGCCTTCAATTGTTCTTCAACTTCTTCAGGAAGAATCTCAGAGAAATCCTGTTCAGCAGCTTTGGCTCTTGTACCCATGGCTTTCACTGTCTTAGTGTATGCAATGTTATCTGTGATGATCTTAGACAGCTCAGGGAAATGCCATCCAAACCATTCACGGCATCTCATCACATAGTTGTTGAGCTCTTTGTCAAGGTCGTCAAGAAGAGAAATAGCTTGTACTATCATGGTGTCTACTTTGTCTGGACTGAACTTTAACTTGTATCTTGACAGACTGAAAGGGGAGATTTTTTATATTTTTACACCCATTAAAAGTCTGTCAATTGTATACCCCCACCCACTCAAGATTGAAACCTTAAAAAAATTTAAGGTGGAGAAGTCTGGTTTAATTTCAATCAAGAGTTCCATCAGTTACTGACCACTAGTAACAACTATACCACTCCATTTTTAACCCCCCCCCCCCCTCCCATTCTTGAGTACCCAAGAAAACTTGGGGATGAAAAATAAAAACCATTAGGGTATGGTAAAAAAAAACCTTATCTTGTTCAGACTACTCTYAAGACTTGGAATACAAGGACATTATCAACATAATGCTAATGGACATAACATTAACTACCATATACCTGTGTGCTAAACCCAATGCCATAGCAGCCATTTCTTTATCCTGTATACCAGTAACAAGGTTATTCATTTGGTTCCTGATACCTCTCATCAGTTCTTGAATGGCATTAGAAGAGATGCAGGTGATGTTCAACTTGTCCTACATTGGAAATAAAGGCATGTTTGTTTGAAAAAGAAAATAGAAATAGACTCTACATGTGCGATTGACATCTTGCTTGTGGACTCGCTTGTTCGCAATATGAGACGGAAAACGAGTGAATAAAAATGATACCAGGCTCTTAGAATGTGATAATTTTTATTGTATTTATACGTTGTATAAATGTGCTATACAAGAACCTCCCATTAYGATTATTAAGATGACAAAATTTCCAGTTCACCGTGAAGTGCTATCGTATCACTTCACTGATATGGTTTTTATTCACAGCTTTATCTCRCTGTTATCGACACTAAATGCGTAATAACAATAAATATTTCATTAATGATTATAGTGAATATATTAAATTCCAACATAAACAATATATAATCAATGTAAACTGACCTTGATAGCTCCAGCAAGCTTTGCATCAGACACAGCAAGTTGTTCATGTGCATCTTTAGCCACAACCTTCTTCAAGAGTTTCTTGAGGCCTTTGCCCATCTTTCCCTCCACAGCTGCAGTGGTGGCTGGTAAAGAAGAGAAAAAAATCATCAATAATCCATCTTCCCTGTTTATATTCCCATAAATAATTAGAGTCGATACAATAACAAAATTTACAATTCTTATTTCACCGTGGAGTGATATTGTATCACTTCACTGATATGGTCCTTATTCACAGCTTTATAACAGGAATAGTTCTAAGATTAAGTTGGTGCCAATTATGCTGCAATGTAGCTTATGGTTGGAAGACCATAGTGTAGATAAGACTTTTAGGGAATTCTATGATTATTTCCTAGGGTATTCTATAATTTTCCAAATACGATTTAAAGCATAGTCATAAAAAATGTTACTATTATTTGCAACATATTTACCTGCTAAAGCCTCTGTGGTATCGTCAAACTTGTGGAAATGCTTCAACTTTACCCTAAAAACACAACAAAATCAGATCATCAAAATACATTCAACATAAAACTATCATACATGAACTAACTCCCGTACACTTAAGTATACCCATTAAAGCAATCAGGCATATTTTTCAGGTACATGTACATGTATAAAGGAGTTATTTTTTTGTTTAAATTCCAATTCCAATAGAGTAGTTGGATAAGCTCTTTGCTAAGTTAATAATAATTTCTACTACAACAAAAATTGAGTACCAAGAGAGAAATAAGATGAAATACGGTGTGAACATGATCAAATAATAATAAAAAAYCTCCGTGGAGAGCTGAGTATTCATAATCAAACTTGCACAAACATCGATAATTTTCTTTACAAAAGTCTGTAATAAAATTCGATGAATGTTACTAGAGATCATAGACAAAGGTAAGGCAAAGAAATAAAACAACTTACACTTTACTGGCTGAATCCGGAGACTCGAATTCTTTATACAAATCATCCACATTCTTCAGTTTCTTCTCGTCCAGCAACTACGAACAACAATACACATTTTACACTCTTATTCATCAAGATAAACGTCATAAAAGCCATGTAAAACACGTATAAGGAAATATTCTTCCATATCTTACCTTAAAGACAGCATATCCTGCCGGAGTTTCAAATAAAACAAGCATTTTTTGAGGAAAATTCTTCAGGCTTCGAATTTTTCTTGCAGCACGTGGAGAACCTAATCATGGGGAATGCCGCTGACATGATGTAGCGCTGGCTAACCAGTATGCATTGCGGGATACCTGTATCTAAACCCACAGGAAGCCCAAGCTCACTTACCATGTAAGCCAATTGAAAATTACCCACTTAGATAATTTTTCCCCAGAAAGTTGGTCAGCGGCTTCTTGTTTATCCTTCGTTTTCCTTTTCCCTCTTAAATATGGTCAAGGATACCCTTAAATATGGTCATTTGAAAAAAGGATACTCTTAAATATGGTCAAGGATACCCTTAAATACGGTCATTTCAAAAAA